GCAGCAGACAGTGCTACACCCAGCAGCAGCTGACAGTGCAGCAGCAAAAAGCAGCTGACAGTGCAGCAGCGCAGCAGCTGACAGTGCTACAGCAGCAGCAGCAGCAGCTGACAGTGTTTACAGCAGCAGCAGCAGCAGCTGACAGTGCTACAGCAGCAGCAGCAACTGACAGTGTTTACACAGCGCAGCAGCTGACAGTGCTACAGCAGCAGCAGCAGCGACAGTGCTACAGCAGCAGGCAGCAGCTGACAGTGCTACAGCAGCAGCAGACTGACAGTGCTACAGCGCAGCAGACGGTGCTACAGCAGCAGCAGACGGTTACTACAGCAGCAGCAGCAGCTGACAGTGCTGCAGCAGCAGCTGACAGTGCTACAGCAGCAGCAGCAGCTGACAGTGCTACAGCAGCAGCAGCTGACAGTGCTACAGCAGCAGCAGACGGTGCTACAGCAGCAGCAGACGGTACTACAGCAGCAGCAGCAGCTGACGGTGGTACAGCAGCAGCAGCAGCTGACGGTGCTACAGCAGCAGCAGCAGCTGACAGTGCTACAGCAGCAGCAGCATCAGCAGTTGACCATGGTACCACAGTATTTCGATAATATTTCTCACACTTTTTACCACAGGGTTGGCACTAGAGGCTTTCTTGGGGCCCATGGTCACTTATTTTGAGATAAAATCACCAAAAACGCTGTAATAATATGAAATGTTCCGATTGTATGCTTTGATGTTACCGCGGAGGCTGGCTTGTAAACAATGTCACCGGCGGAACATGTGAGGCTGGCTCAGGCCGCACATTAGACATGTCTCGGACGAATAGCGCTGAGCGGGTTTTTTAGCGGTATGCGAGGCAAAATCTTAGCGATAAAATGTATCGGTATGCGGATTTAACGTTATGTGATGCCAACGGTATGCGGGGGTCCACTGTATATGCTTCTAAACTGTTGTATCTGGGTGATTATGTATGAGTTAGGTGAAAGTGTTGAATGATGATGAAAATATTTTATTTTTGGGGATTTTCTTTCTTTTTAGATCACCCTGCCTCGGTGGGAGATGGCCGACTTGTTGAAAAAAAAAAAAAAATTTACTCCATGGGGAAGCGGAACAGAATTCTTCCTCTGTAAGCCATGCATGTCGTAAGAGGTGACTAACATGCAGGAGTAAGGGGCTACTAACCCCTTCTCCTGTATACATTATTAAATTTAAAAAGAGAAACTTTAGTTTTTCTTTTTAGGTCACCCTGCCTCAGTGGGATACGGCTGGGTTGTTGAAAAAAAAAAGGTACATACAGTAGTGCTCCACTTTACGGTATTTCGCCTTACAGCGGTTCGCTAATACGGGCATTTCAAATTACAGCCAAAATTCACTATATGGCTCCCCCACCTGACTTTCTAATACGGTCACTGTGCCTCACCGGGTTTGTTTACACTCTCCATGAGCAATGCATCTCTCCATTGTGTCCAGAAACTTTCCAAAATTTCAAATATTTTATTTCATGTTTTATATAAACTCTGATAATTATACTTATGTGTACCTGTACCTAAATAAACTTACACACTATGCTGGCATGCAGGTACACATTAAAATCACTAAGAGTGCCTTATTAGTCTTGAGGATGCCATATTAATAATGATAAATGGGAAGCCTTTAATTGAGCTATGTGTATAAAGAGATTTGGTAATAAGTAATACATATTTTATGAAAAAGAGGATAAATAAATATACAAGGTATGATGTAGCACGTAATGAAAGTAGTTTGTTAGATTATGTATTGGTGGATAAAAGGTTGATGGGTAGGCTCCAGGATGTACATGTTTATAGAGGGGCAACTGATATATCGGATCATTATTTAGTTGTAGCTACAGTTAGAGTAAGAGGTAGAAGGGAAAAGATGAAGGTGGCAACAACAAGTAAGAGGGAGGTGAAAGTGTATAAACTAACGGAGGAGGAAGGGTCGGGGGAGATATAAGGACTGTTGGCAGAAAGGGGGGGCTAGTGCAAAAAATGAGTAGGGGGGGGTTGAAGAGGGTTGGAATAGTTTTAAAAATCCCAGTATTAGAATGTGGGCAGAAGGTTTGTGGTTATAGGAGGGTGGGGGCAGGTTTGGCAAGAGGAGTGATTGGGGAATGAAGTAAAGGGTGTGTTTAAAAGAGAAAAAGTTAGCTTATGAGAGGTTTTTACAAAGCAGAAGTGTTAAAAGAAGAGCAGAGTATATGGAGAGTAAAAGAAAGGTGAAGAGAGTGGTGAGAAGTGCAAAAGGAGAGCAGATGATAGAGTGGGAGAGGCACTGTCAAAGAAATTTTTTAAAGAAAATAAGAAAAAATTTTGGATTGAGTTAAACAAGTTAAGAAAGCCTAGGGAAAGTATGGATTTGTCAGTTAAAAACAGAGTAGGGGAGCTAGTAGATGGGGAGATGGAGGTATTAGGTAGATGGCGAGAATATTTTGAGGAACTTTTAAATGTTGAGGAAGAAAGTGAGGCAGTAAATTTCATGCACTGGTCAGGGAGGTATACCATCTTTAAGGAGTGAAGAAGAGCAGAATGTAAGTGTGGGGGAGGTACGTGAGGCATTACGTAGAATGAAAGGGGGTAAAGGATCTGGAAATGATGGGATCATGACAGAAATGTTAAAAGCAGGGGGGGATATAGTGTTGGAGTGGTTGGTACTTTTGTTTAATAAATGTATGAAAGAGGGGGAAAGGTACCTAGGGATTGGCAGAGAGCATGTATAGTCCCCTTTATATAAAGGGAAAGGGGACAAAAGGATTGTAAAAATTATAGAGGAATAAGTTTATTGGGGTATACAAGGAAAAGTGTACGGTAGGGTTTTTAATTGACAGAATTAGAGGTAAGGGCAGAATGTAGGATTGCGGATGAGCAAGGAGGTTTCAGAGTGGGTAGGGGATGTGTAGATCAAATGTTTACATTTAAGCATATATGTGAACAGTATTTAGATAAAGGTGGGGGAAATTTATATTGCCTTTATGGATTCAAAAAGGGTATGATAGAGTGGATAGGGGGGCAATGTGGCAGATGTTGCAAGTATTTTGGAATAGGTGGTAAGTTACTAATGCTGTAAAGAGTTTTTATGAGGATAGTGAGGCTCAGGTTAGGGGTGTAGAAGAGAGGGGGATACTTTCCCAGTAAAAGTAGGTCTTAGACAGGGGTGTGTAATGTCACCATGGTTGTTTAATATATTTATAGATGGGGTTGTAAAATTAGTAAATGCTAGGGTTTTTCAGGAGAGGGGGGGGGGATTAAATTATGGGGAATCAAATTCAAAATGGGAATTAACACAGTACTTTTTGCTGATGATACTGTGCTTATGGGAGATTCTAAAGAAAAATTGAAAAGGTTAGTGGATGAGTTTGGGAATGTGTGTAAAAGGGAGAAAGTTGAAAGTGAACATTGAAAAGAGCAAGGTGATGAGGGTATCAAATGATTTAGATAAAGAAAAATTGGATATCAAATTGGGGGGGAGGGGTATGGAAGAAGTGAATGCTTTCAGATACTTGGGAGTTGACGTTGTCGGCGGATGGATTTATGAAGGATGAGGTTAATATAGAATTGATGAGGAAAAAAGGTGAGTGGTGCATTGAGGTATATGTGGAGTCAAAAAAAGTTATCTATGGAGACAAAGAACGGAATGTATGAAAGTATAGTTGTACCAACACTCTTATATGGGTTTTGAAGCTTGGGTAGTAAATGCAGCAGCGAGGAGACGGTTGGAGGCAGTGGAGGGTGTCCTGTTAAAGGGCAATGTGTGGTGTAAATATTATGCAGAAATTCGGAGTGTGGAAATTAGGAAAAGGTGTGGAGTTAATAAAAGTATTAGTCAGAGGGCAGAAGAGGGGTTGTTGAGGTGGTTTGGTCATTTAGAGAGAATGGATCAAAGTAGAATGACATGGAAAGCACATAAAACTATAGGGAAGGAAGGCGAGGTAGGGGTCGTCCTCGAAAGGGGTTGGAGAGAGGGGGTAAAGGAGGTTTTGTGGGCAAGGGGCTTGGACTTCCAGCAAGCGTGCGTGAGCGTGTTAGATAGAGTGAATGGAGACGAATGGTACTTTGGGGGCCTGACAATCTGTTGGAGTGTGAGCAGGGTAATATTTAGTGAAGGGATTCAGGGGAAACCGGTTATTTTCTATAGTCGGACTTGAGTCCTGGAAATGGGAAGTACAATGCCTGCACTTTAAAGGAGGGGTTTGGGATATTGGCAGTTTGGAGGGATATGTTGTGTATCTTTATATGTATATGCTTCTAAACTGTTGTATCCTGAGCACCTCTGCAAAAACAGTGATTATGTGTGAGTGTGGTGAAAGTGTTGAATGATGATGAAAGCATTTTCTTTTTGGGGATTTTCTTTCTTTCTTGGGTCACCCTGCCTCGGTGGGAGACGGCCGACTTGTTGAAAAAAAAAAAAAAATAATAATAATACGCAATAACAATCACTGAGACACATTAAACGTCGTATATTACGTTAAACATTTTCATTAATCCATCTATGATATTGTTTTCAAAATTATATAATAAACATGCTACGTAACATATAAACACAATAAATACACCCCACAATAGAATAAATTATCATAAATATGAGATGTTACGTGTATGAACCAAAACCAGACACGTTCATTTGCTTGTTTACGTAACTCCATGTGTCTTTCCTCTCATTTACTCATTCTCTCTCTCATTTATTCATTTTACCTTGTTTACTCACCTCTTACCCTACATTAAGACTACAAATATTTTAAGTTAAGCAATGAGTGTACTGTATATGCATTTTATCACTTTGGAGCGCTTTAAATGTCGTAGCATAATACGTGTGAGTGGGGTGGCCTGGCCTGGCCAGTTACCATACCTCTCACACCTGATTTCCTACAAATACTATTCACCTCTTGCCCTACATTAAGACTACAAATATTTTATGGTAAGTAATGAATGTACTGTGTGTTTATTTTACTTTTTATTGTTTTTAATGCCTAGTTGCTAACTTAATATATGTTAGTGTAAACTTTTTATCTGGCATTTACATGCATTTATAAATGGAAAACAATGGCTTTCTGCTTTCCGGCAATGTCTGCTTTCTGGCGGTAGCCTGGAACCTAAACTGCTGTATAAGTGGGACCCTAATGTACATTAATAATAATAAATAGTGTAGTTTAGTTTCTTATAGCCTTTATTGTCTTTATAAAAATGAGATGAAAAAGTGTGACACTCTAAATAAAAAATTACAAAGAAATGCTGACAATGTGCAGTACATGTTTTAGTATGGCACAAATTTAAATAATGTAAAATAGGTTCATTTTAACTGTACTGACTTATGAGTGAACAATAAGGTTAAGAACAAAGTACCAAAAAAAAAAAAAAAAAAAAAAAAAAAAAAAAAAAAAAAAAAAAAAAAAAAAAAAAAAAAAAAAAAAAAATTTTCAGTCATGGAGTGTATGAATGGTGTTGAGACCACTTGTGTCATATGGCAGTGGTAAAAAAAACTTATTCATATAATCAAGGATTCTGACTAATATAAAAAGCTAGATTAAGCTGAAACATAAAGAGAGCTACTTGTGTACATGCTAAATAATTAAATAACTCACTCTGTCAATAAGGTGACAAATATTAAGACCTGCAAATTATGAGTCACTGATGTATTGTTTAGGCAAATTATTGAGAAAAACCCTACGAACAGATGGAATAAGATTACAAAAATTGTTGAACATGGACAAAGTAAAAAATAACATGAATACTCTTATACAAAACAGGGATAATAACAAGCTAAGTGTAATTTCAAGGAAATTAACATACAGAATATACCAGTAAATAGTAATAACACAACTGCAAACAAATCACAGAACAGGTGGGGTCTGAACCCTTGGCAAGTGAATCCTAACACTCACAGGCCAGTCAGTTGGCTGAGTGGTTAACACAGTTTTAGGATTCATTTGCCGTGGGTTCAGGTCCTACCCATTCCGTGATTTATACCAGGAAAGGTGAATTAAACTTATAACTGATGATACAGAACTAACACATTGCAAACTGAGGAGCAAGATATTACAAAAGTCTTGATAAAATATTGTTGGAAAGATACTAGTGATAAAATACATAGCAGAAAAAAAAGAGCAACATTTATGGATAAAAAATATCAGAGACTTGACTGGAATGCCTTTGGGGAAGCTTTAAAAGTTTTTTGTATATAAAAAAAAATTAGTTAACTGATATGTATGTAAGCATGAACCTGTATGTAAGCATGAACCTAAGTGAATGTAAGATCAAACAAATACTCTGAATATGAACAGAGCTAGTAGAGGTGTAGCAAATGTCAAGGTAGAGAAATGGTCAAGGTTTTGAAAAGTATGCTCCTTACTGACCCGCTTTTTTGCTACTGATTTAGCATTGACAATCGAAAACAAACAAAAACGAAGTTGCAAATGAGTACTAGTATGTAATATAATAAAGTCAGAGGTAAATGATGGGAGAATAGTGTAATGGTTTTCGAAATACAAACTTGTACACTGGTGGATTTTGCTCCACCTTGCAGAATGGAGTAAGATGAACACGAACTGAAACTCATGACTCACAGACTATAAGGCATACAGGTTATGATTTCACCTTGAACATAAAAAAGATGTTGAAACCAGGATAAGTTTCATCAATGACAAATTATTTTACTTACTATGCAAGCCAATTCTGGTAGCAAAGAACTGCATTATTGTCTTTGTTACTACATTCCTATAAAAATAAAATGAAATTTCACAACACCAAGAATCTGAAAAGGAAATAAAGAGAATTTGAGCCAATAGAGTAAGGCAAGACCGTTACCACTTCACTACCAACATTGAATAATAATATAATCAAATTAAGCACCGAACTTAATAGGGTCAATGGATAATGAAGGATTCAAGGAAACATTAATACTCATTCGTATTACTGTATTACATTTACGTCAGGTGTGTAATTTCTATTTGTGATAGTGTATTATGGAAACTGGTGGTGAAATATTGGAATATGTCAAGAAATTTAAATATTCGGAACCATGAACAAGAAGAAATACAGTAGCCAATGTGAGAGTTGTGTAATGGAGAAAGTAACTGATGAGGGCTGATTAACACAATAATGCTTCCCACAGTGAGCTATGAGTAAAATACAAATATTTTCTAAAACATTACTAAAAATAATCCTGCTTGTGATCTGAACTATTTTCAAAATACATGTGGTCTAAGGTGAGGAGTATTAATAAAAAATATACAGAATATGTGAAAAAGCTAGCAATGTTCAAGAGAAATACAATATGACTGATCAAATAAGTGAAGAGGATGACTAATGTACAGTATTTATAAGATAAGCAAGAATTTAAATAAAAGGGGTCAGTGATGGATGACAATGAATGTGGAGAATTTCATACAGGATAGGTGATCACAGGAACCATAACAGCATAAAAGATATAAAAAAAAAAGAAAAATATCTAAGTTTTTAAAATAGAGATTTGCCAAGTTCTGACATCAGAAACATGAATGAGAGTTATTTTTATAATGAAGTCATGATATAAATTTGCACTGAACAATAACAACAATGAGAAGAGTATCTTACAAAGTTTCCTTCAAGTGATTTTACATAATGGCATTATCTATATTGGATCCTAATGGGTGAAGGCTTTACAGAAGAACGAGGAGGAAGCTTTGGTGGACTAACTGAGTCTTCAGTTGGGACCAAATGTGAAACACCAAAAGTACTTTTTTTATGAACAGGAGACATAAGACTGTCTGGAGTTTTAAATCTCATATCCTCCTCCTTCCTTATTAGTGTCTTAGGGACCGTGGCTTCTCCTTTGTATGCCTTTGGAGTGTCACGAGAATGTTCTTGTTGAATATTGATCCGATTACTTTCCTTAAGTGGTGACACTATAGCAATTTTGGTTACACTGTGAGGTGCTCTATCAAACTGTAATGATTTCTGTCTAGCTTTCAGCAGTTCCCGTGGCGTCATAGTAGAACGGTGAGACATGCTTCTTGAGTAACTCAACCTAGTCACACGCTGATCAGAGGCAGATGAATGTTCAGGAGGCTGATTAGGAGTGCAGCGAAGTCTTGACTGTCGTCGCTGATAAGGACTAGGAGCATTTAAGTTGTTAAAGAGTTGTACATTGGCAGTTACTTTTTTCTGTTTTATTAGAGCTGCAAGTGATGGCCTTCCAATATTTCCTTCTCCTCTTAAGTTCTCGTGATCCTCTGCACAACTGATGAATTCAGTTGCAGGCATCCACTGCTCTTCTCCAGCCTCAGATTCAGCATACACAGCACACTGATTTTTTTTATTTACCAACTTGTCTTTCTGAGCTATCTGTTCATCAACCTCCATATTTATATCTGAGATATTATGCTGCAAATTTAATAAACAATTACTATAATCCCTTTGATAGCCTTCATTTATAGAGGTTTCTGTTGAGGAAAATTTTAACACTGGAACAGAAGAGACTAGTGATAAACGATGGGACCTCCTACGTGTCAAGGGCACAGAAAGGTGCTCAAGAAAACTGCCAGTTAAACTGTCATCAACACTCATACTAGACATATTCATATTTATTGAGAGTTGCTCCCCAGAACTCTCATTATTGTATATTTTACATATTGCTTTTCCTTCTTCATTACAAGTTGACCTAAGAGCACTGTCATCATTTCTCTTGTTTATAATCACCTTGCGGTTTATACCAGTTGTAGGGGTTTCTGCAAAACCTACTGGGGAATCAGAAATTCCCTTTGAAGTTGAACGCACTACAAACGGAAGTCCTGATTTTACAGAATTTGGTCTTCCCCGTTTTAAGGTAGTGTTTATTGGAGTTTGCATTAGAGTTCCTTTCATTTTTGGTGTTTGAACTGGCTTACTTTCAAGAGTATCATCCACATTAGTTTGACTTTTAGCAGCATTTTGTACTAAATCCCTTGAGCGACGTCTGATGGTGCCAATTTTTCGTTCACTTGGTGATCGTATCACTCTATGTTCTCCACTTCTTCGATTACGAATTTTAAGCTCCTTTCCCAATCTCTTTGATAAATTATCAGAGGGACTGATGCCAAGCTCTTTAGTCTCTACTTTCATGCGCTCATAAGCGCTCTGTATCATTTCAGAGTAACTCATGTTTTGTGCAGATATAGAAGAACTGTCTGGAAAAAATACTTCCTTCATTTGTTGAACATTACTCTTATCAAATTCCTCTTCCATGGTTTTTAAGACAGATTTTATATCATCATACTGCTGCTCGAGAGTATCTATGGAATTATTGAGCCTAGGACGAGGAACTAACTGGTCACGAAGTGTACATTCTGCTCCATCAGGTACCCCTCGTGACTCCAAGGTGGAAGAAACATCCGCACCATCTGGTTCATTAAAATTTATTCTCCATCCGCTGCTGCTCCTTCGTTTAACTCTAACAGGCTCTTCGGAACAGCTCATTCTCTTGACACTGCTCCTGAGTGGAATATCACAGCTTCTTCGTCTCACTACTGGCTTAGTGACTGGCGACATTATTGGAGCATCTCTGGAGAATATCTTCGAAAGTGGCTGCGATTCCATCCTGTGTTGAACTGTTTCAACTTTGAGAGATTCAACTCGACCTAAACTCTTCCTACCTACTCCAGGGTTGACTGTGTAAATGTTAGTACTTGGGGATTTGGAGAAAGCTCTGATTTTAGCAGAAGTGGACCTCTTAAGGCATGGAGTGGAGCTGTCCGTGATGGAGTATCGAGCAGATGATTGAGTGAGTAAGTTCCGCGAGTCCACGATCTCTCGAACGATACAGGGCTGACCCATTTTAAAGATCTGCTTCTTCTGCAACAAACAAATAAAAAATAAATTAATAAATAAACACAGTGAGATGTAACTTTATTGCCACTTGGCTAGTTTACAAATATTTCCATGAGTTTGCAACACCAGCTGATAAGTTCACCAAATGTAGGTTTTTAACCAAATTATTCTCATACTTAGTATCCTTATACTTTACACTGAACCATTAAGCTCTCACGAAGTTAGCGACCTCGGCGATATTTACGAATCGGCAATTTCGCCCACTTTGAGCCCTATTTCCAGCTAATTCTGTTGTTCCAGTCGACCAAACTCATAGCTATTTCTTTAGAACTCCATTTTTTCTATCGACTGAGTACAAGAAACTGCCCATTTACCAATTTCAACTACCAAATAACATGGTCAGAAATTTGCAATTTGGCCAATTTCATGAAAATTAAAAAATATGACAATTTCAAAATAGGGTCCAGAATGAACAAAGCAGACATTCCTGGCTCTAAAATAACATATTCTTTGTTCATCAGTCACGTCTCCAGGATCCTCTGATATTACTCTTGCTTTCTATTTTGAATTTTTATTCAACAAAAAATAAAAGATTTACTGTTATGTAGACTACTGCAATATTGTAATAATTGCATAAATAATGTCAACCCATTCATGACTGCATATTAGAATGTTTACTTGGACATTTATTGAAAAATGACATCATTTGTTTACTTTTGAACATTGGCAAAAATCAAACATTCCCCCTAATTTGAGCTCCATTTCAAGGTTCTTTGCATAGTACAACCAATCAAAATCACCTCTATTTCTATAATATGTTTTCCATTCTATCAAATGAGACCAAGAAAACGAGAATACGACCATAAATACTACACTAAAACAGACCACAAAGTCAGCATTTTAATTAAAAAAAAAAAAAGATCAGTTTTTTTTCTCATTATGCACTGCGTGCTGCAGGATTTTTTTTATATGGTGCACACTGACCACACAGACCCATTCTCTCACATGTGGGCTTACCAGCTTTCTCCTGCTTGATTTGAAGCCGCTAGTATTTATGAGTATACATGTATATACGTCAAACACGACTCGTAATATGTGTATATATGATCGAAACATTCAAAGGGTCAAAAAGGGAGTGTTAATACGACATGATATCAGTGAATCCCTGGCGTTTGCCACGCTATTTGCTCTAGCTGGTGCTCAATGAACTGGTGCTCCCACAAGGTATTATGGTCCCAGACTTTTTTAATACTGTGAACACTGAGTGTTAAGACCCATTCTATACTGACCAGGCATCTCAGGCGAATCGTGCCAAATTTGAAGGCAGCAAAAATAAAATGCTGATCTACGTTTGAAGTGCTAGCAGTACTAACAAAAATCTACGTTTGGACAGTTAAGGGGTTAAAAATGAGAAATTTCATGTTTTGTAAGAAATTTCAACCTACTGGAGGCAACAGAATATAGTCTAAGATACATCTTTTGGATACTATGCCTTGCTATTACAACCCATTCTAAAGCAATATTTATTTAAAAAAAAAATAAAATAAAATGAAATGCCAGCAGAAGAAGATATTATTGCAGATCTCTAAGATTTTATACAAATATTTTTGAAATTTGTGTGCCAGTTTTCTACACTATTAAAAAACAGAAATAACAAAGAGTGTTAAAACACCTTGCCCTACCGAATGTGTCTTGAACAGGAATAATCTCTCCTGGGCTCCCACACCTACCCACCACCTGCCTTACCAACAAAACCCATCCACTATGAAGGCACACTAGGTCTCCCTCTTTGACTCTCAGCCAACCCACCCCCCTTTCCTAGGACTGAGGTCTTTCTCTGGTTCGAAGGCTATCCATCCACTCATCCACCTTACTACCTAACAACCACTCGTGAGCTAACAAAACGTAAATAATAAATCTATAGTTCTTCACCAATCTTTACCAAATAAATGTAAACACCATACATACATAGGCACATACAAAAGGTATGAATGTACATTTTTTTTTTTTTCAACAAGTCGGCTGTCTCTCACCGAGGCAGGGTGACCCAAAAAAGAAAGAAAATCCCCAAAAAGAAAAATACTTTTATCATCATTCAACACTTTCACCTCTCTCACACATAATCACTGTTTTTGCAGAGGTGCTCAGAATACAATAGCTTAGAAGCATATACGTATAAAGATACACAACATATCTCTCCAAACTGCCAATATCCCAAACCACCCCTTTAAAGTGCAGGCATTGTACTTCCCATTTCCAGGACTCAAGTCTGGCTATATAAAAATAACCGGTTTCCCTGAATCCCTTCACTAAATATTACCCAGCACACACTCCAACAGCTCGTCAGGTTCCAAATACCATTCGTCTCCATTCACTCCTAACACGCTCATGCATGCTCGCTGGAAGTCCAAGCCCCTTGCCCACAAAACCTCCTTTACCCCCTCCCTCCAACCTTTTCGAGGATGACCCCTACCCCGCCTTCCTTCCCCTACAGATTTATACGCTCTCCATGTCATTCTACTTTGATCCATTCTCTCTAAATGACCAAACCACCTCAACAACCCCTCTTCAGCCCACTGACTAATACTTTTATTAACTCCACACCTTCTCCTAATTTCCAAACTCCGAATTTTATGCATAATATTCACACCACACATTGCCCTTAGACAGGACATCTCCACTGCCTCCAACCGTCTCCTTGCTGCAGCATTTACAACCCAAGCTTCACACGCATATAAGAGTGTTGGTACTACTATACTTTCATACATTCCCTTCTTTGCCTCCATAGATAACGTTTTTTGTCTCCACATATACCTCAACACACCACTTGCCTTTTTTCCTTCATCAATTCTACGATTAACCTCATCCTTCATAAATCCATCTGCTGACACGTCAACTCCCAAATATCTGAAAACATTCACTTCCTCCATACCCACGTAGAACCCAAAATGATCCAAGAATACTAGCACTGCTACCTATAACCTGACAAAATTGATGATCTAAGGAAAACAGTCCTGCAAACCCAAGCACCGTCCCCACTGCCAGACGAACACTCAACCCAAGCTCTGGGAACAAAGCTCTCTCCTCCATCACTTCACCAGTAAGTACTTCAGTGGTACTATTAGAAGAAATCGCAGAAGAAACAACAACAGCACCAAAAAGATAAAATCAAGGATTCTGCAACTCAACATGTCAACCCAGAAGGATGCCGGCGTATCATTAATCCCTTTCACCACTGCCTGGGGCCACACAATAACAATATCAAACATGGCTGACTCTCACACCAACTCCCCTTCCTTCACTGGATTCACCACTCCTGTCGATCTCTCAGCATGACTGACGATCCTGACACTGTTAGGTCAAACATTGTCTCTCTAGCTGCTAAAAATAGAAATCTTAGAGCAACAAGAAGTCAAGATAACCAACTCGAGAAGAGAAGATTATGACGTCGGGAAGTACTGACTCAGAAAATTCTCTGCAAACAGCAATTGCCAGTCACACTGAGCAAATAACATCTCTGAATACGAAGGTAGAAAAAGCAATCAAGGTCCGGAAAACTAACATGCATGCCCGATTGAATGATTACCTTGATTACCATGATGACAAAACAGAACAAGAAAAGCTGTCTGATGCAGTTATAATAAACAGCTTCCACTTTACCAGTGAAATAAATAACCCCAGCTAATTGCAAAGATACCACTATCAGGATCATAAAAGACCACCTAAATGTTAATGTGCACAACAACGAAGTTAAAGAAACACGCTTACTAGGAAAACAAGGTTGTAAACACTTTGTTATGATCAGATTTCATTCCTGTGACAAAAAAAAAAAAATCTAATTCAATCAGCAAGTAGAGTAAAAAATAGTGTACATGAATGAGTGCCTGACGAGAAAAACATCAAAACTTAAAACGGGAAAACAGTGACAAAATCCATCAGTGCTTCACTCAAAATGGGAAAAATTCTAGTGAGGAAAACAGAAGTAGGTGGCCACTTATTTACAATCACAAATGAAAATGATCTCTCCAATTTCCTTAGAGAAGTTAATCTTACTGAGACAGATGAGCTAATTGGTTCTTAACATTATTATCTGCATGTAGTGTATGTTCCTACTGCATTATCGTGCAAATCCTAGTACTAGTACTATCTTTTACTAGTTAGTACCATCTACCTCTATCCTATGTATTACTTGCTTAAATTTTGTGCTACAAATCAAATCTTACTGTCTAAATTTGTTTAATACCATATTTACTATCTCCATTTTTTTATTTTTTTATTATTACTTACTTTAGTCTCCATAGAATTAGTCTCTTAGAATAGTTCTTCACATACCAATATTTTGTACTGCCTTTTATAAGTTTTCGTATTACTTCCAGTGCAATAGTGAATTCTAAAAGTTGTGCAATATTGATTTAATACTTGTCACACTTATTATACTAATCCTTATTAATAGTTAATAGTTTCTTTTCTGTTAGTTATACATCCTTAATCCTGCTTTAGTCATATGATTGCAAACAATGATCCAGATATTAACCTCTTACTAAAGGACTTACACGATCCTAACAACTACCTTTATTACACTGCTAGTCAGGCTAAGACACTACTCAGGGCCAACAACAACATAACAGTATTTAACCCCTTGACTGTTTCGGTCGTATATACACGTCTTAGGAGCCACTGTGTTTGGCGTATATATACTCAAAAATTCTAGCAGCTTCAAATCAAGCAGGAGAAAGCTGGTAGGCCCACATGTGAGAGAATGGGTCTGTGTGGTCAGTGTGCACCATATAAAAAATCCTGCAGCATGCAGTGCATAATGAGAAAAAAAAACTCTTACTGTTTTTGGATTAAAACACCGATTTTGTGGTGTATTTTCGTAAAGTATTTATGGTTGTATTCTCGTTTTCTTGGTTTCATTTGATAGAATGGAAAACATATTATAGAAACAGAGGTGATTTTCATTGGTTTTCCTATGAAAAGTAACTTGAAATGGAGCACAAAGTAGGGGAAATGTTTGATTTTTG